GAAAGAGTCAAAGAACGACGGGAAGCGAAAGTTAGACGCGTGGGCGGCGGCCATTTTCGAGCATTAGGCTGACTGAGACGAGGAGGGAATTCGTTGGTGGAGATGATGGTTAATTTAGGTAAAAATATGACACGCGGATTTTTTACTTCCTGTTGATGATTTCGAGACTGTTCGAGAGATTCGAAAATGTTTAAATAATGATTCCTCGTTTAATTCCAGTGTGAAAATGTACAACCAGTATTTAATTTCTCAGAAAGATTTACACATAATACGCGAATCAATCATTGATAATAATTCCTCTATCTAATTAATTTCCTCCATTTCCTGCAATTATTCTCTATCGCCTTACTTTTTTTTCAATCTCTCTCATCGCGATAACCTCCATTATTTCAAACCCAGCAATCGTGACCCAATATTTCCTATATACTTACAACAACAACAGCAACATTCTCTCGACAAATTTCCATTCACAAAGAACATCTCGCAATTTTATCACTCATCCCATGTTTTTCATTCACTTAAAAAGATATATCTCCCAATTATTAATAAACGTCCACCTAAATCACAATGTGAGCATCATCTTCGCCAGAATCACTGTGCATAAAAGCTTCTTGCACTTTTCACAGAGACAGAATAATTCGATACTCGAGGGAATCGTTTTCGTTCCCCCCTTGTCAAAGGAGACAAAGGCGTAATTATTGTGTCGGTATCGCGGCGACGATTAATGCACGGCCTATCAATGGCCGGTCGGCCAGAGAGAGCGGGAGATACGCGGCTTATTAATTAATTGCATTCACGGACAAAAGGAGGTGGGGTGGAGAGAGAGAGAGAGAGAGAGAGAGAGACAAAAGGAGGGCGCGAAATCGAGGGCCCGATTATTGCAGTCGCGTCTCTCGCGATAGATCCTCGTTACAGCGGCGTCTATGATCGGGCGTCAGAATTCGATCGGAAGGTTAACAAGCCTCGTCGCAAAGAACGATCAGAAGCGCAATTTCAAGCGTTTATCGATTCGAAATCGCGGCAATGCTTCGCCCCCTTCGTTCTCCCACCGGCCAGACGAAACACGAAAGGGGTCGCGCGGTTGACAATCGTTCCTCTATTCATGAATTGCACAGGTCGATTCGGCTGTGACCGTGAATTATCGATCGTTCTTCTAGTCGTGAGGCAGGGGAGGGACGAGAGATTCTTGCGAGCGTTGGTTCGTGGATTCAATTGAATTTTAAATTTTCTGATGTTTAGTGTGAAAAGTAGTGTGTTGAATTATTGTATTGGTGTACTTTGTTTTTAATTAAACAGAAAATTCTTAGAATCAAGCAAGCATTTTAAGAGAAGTGAATGATGAATTTAATCATTCATGAATGGAATATTTATTATTTATTACAGGTTTAAATATTTATTGTGGAATTAATGGAATTTTGATAAATGTAGGATAATATTTATCCATTAATACGTATCATTAATTAAAGATGAAGTTACTCCAGGACTATATATAACACGATACACGATTCAATAATAATAAAATTTAAATATGTGACGTTCGTAACAAGAAATTTATAATTTCATCGACAGTCGGAATATTCATTCCGATCGAAATATCGTCGCGATAACTTGAAATTAAACAACAAAGCAATAACAATGAAAGAGCCTACGATTTTTACAAAAATATCAGTTACACGTTAAAGATCATGAAAATTCATTAAGAAATTTTTACGAGCGCATAACCTCGTTCCGAAATCGGCTGTTAACTTCTGACTGATTAAATTCTCATTCATTAACTCCATTCCCGTGTATGAATGAACATAATAATGTTTTATTTACCGAGATAATTCCTCCTGAATTGACTCCTTTGTCTATCAACCATGATCAATGAACTCGAACTCGATCCACATTTTATAACCACATTCCCACATTGCCTACGAAGATCAGGAGCCCCGAATAATCGTGCTAAGAAACCACCGAATCCCTCTTTTGCGCGGAATTTACGAGGAAACTTCCCCTCTTTGCACACGTCGCGATCCAGGCCACGTAATACTGGTAAGTGGAGCCGAATTTACGAATCTTGGCCTCATATGGACGATGCCACTTTACGATTGTGCGATCCGCCGGAGAATCGTTCGTTTCGCGTATTTTTCGAAACGGGAGCATCCGATTTCCCCGGTGCAATTTTATTCGTGATCGAAAGTTTTAAAATTGAACGTTATGGATACGCGATCGCGTGTCAGAAAGCGACAAAAGATAAGGTGTTTTCATCGTGTGTGTTTCTTTTCAGTCACCGTGGTTAGCTTAGATTGGAAAGGTTGGGGGATTCGTGGAATGATTGGACGAATTCGATGTAAGTGAAACAGAGGTTGACATATGTTACTTGTGTTCTTTACAATAATGTTTATGTTTTGAGTGTCGAATTACCGTTCGTTTTTAAACACGTGGCGAGGGTAATAAATACTTGTTTTTCTAAATAACATCGTCGAGAATTATTTCCTTTCCGATGATAATATCGTAAACACTTTTTCAGCGGATAACAAATTTCCAAGAAGCTAAAAGTAATAAACGCTTTGGATAAAAGTACGCAAAATACGTACGATTCAATTGCGTCTATCGAGCAATATGTCGGCTTCGATTTAAATTATCCAAACTCTACTTCTCTATAAGGGGGATAAGCAACAAGTAAATCGGCAGAGAAAAGTTTCGCAGAATTTTTTCCCAATTCCTATGCAACACTCTCGACTCGAGATCACCGACACGAGAATCGCTTTATCCGCGGGCCACGGTGACTTAATTTGAATAGCAATAACGAGAGACGGCTGGGAGGCAAGTGGAGCGTAAGAACGGTCTCGGAGGAAACAGTTTCACTGGATGCCGCGGCTTTTTAAATAGGTTTTCCAGGGGACCTTTAAGCCGTGGCCCAGCGGGAGTTCGGCTTGCCAGATAAGCGACCGCCTCCTAATTTCGAGCTTTTCGAAATGCTCTGTCAACCGTGACTACTTCTGCCTATATTAAAAGAAATCACCCGTTACATGCAAAAAAAAAAAAGGAAAAAAAATAATATATATATATATACGTATAGAAACACGTATGAAATTCTGCTCGACTGAAAAAATATCGATGTACACAAGGAGAACCACTTGAACCGCCGATCGTTCGTTACAGCTCGTTAGAGAAATATTCGTTTCAATTTTAATTAAAACTTGAACAGCGTTCTAAATAAACCAAATCTAATAAAAAAAAAAAAATCAACTCACTTGCAAACTTAGATCCAAAAAAGGAAAAAAATCGCAGAACTTGGTTTCCCCGAGAGAAAATCCACCTTGCACCTCGGGGATGGAGGAACACACAAATGTTCAAATGTTTTTTTCCAAAAACCACTGTTTCCACTCGAAAGTGGACACTCGAAGAAAAAAGAAGAAGAAGCCCACTGCACTGACACTGATCGTCGACGATCAACGATCAAAGCTGATGAAACCCCGAGTTCACCTGGCGTCGAGAAGTGGTTCCCTTCTTCCAAACACCCTTCCACTCCTTTCCTCCAACACCAAGCGGTATCTTTCTCTCGAAAACTATCTACTATCCCCGTCACTTTCGTACGAAATACGGCTAATTCGGCGGAACGATGCCCGATTCGCGTATTCCATTCGATCCCCGCACATCTCACGGGTAGAGCGGTGCACGCCACCGGTCGCGTTGCCACCCTTAACGAAGGAACGAACACCGAGAGCCCCAACGCGCGCGGCTCATTTCGGCCAACTGACTCCGAGCGCAGAAACCTCGGGGCCCTTCGCCTCTTGGGCTCCTCCGCTGCTCGCTCAGAGTGGTGGTGGAGACGCCGTCGACTGTGGTGGTGGTGGAGGGCCGTGGTGGTGGTGGCAGTAGCGGCGGAGAGACGAGCCGTGCGCTCGAGCCGGCCACGTTGGTGGGAGCGCGCGGATGCTGGAGAGCCTCGACGAGCCAACCGTGCTGAGTGTCGCGCGAACAGTCGAGAGAAACGGATCGACGCTTCTGGAGGAGGAGGAGTGAATGTTGCCCTCGTATGTATGCATGAGTTTTGTATGGGTGTTCGTGGGTGGGGATAATGAGAATGTTTGTTGGGGGAGGGGGAGGTTTTGTGACTCGTTCTTCGTTTTTTTTTTTGGATGATTGTTTGGTGGTTGTGGAGATGATCGTGTTGTTTGGTTTTGGAGGTTTGGGTGCGTTTGATCTCGTTCGAATTTGATTTATTTCGCATTTGAAACGAAATTGATTTTTAGGTTGTAAGAAAATATATAAGAGAATTGTTCCCTCGTCTCATTCTCATTTTCGCGATTTTTCTTGTTGGAGAAAATAAAATAAATTGGATTCTAATCTTTAAATAAGTAGAAAGTATAGTTTTTAAGTTAAATCGAGAATTGAGAAAGCATAGAAAATTTCCTAATTATAATATAATGATGTATTGTGATTTTGAGGAGTAAAAGAGAATATTGTGAAATTTCGTTTCATATTAAATGCGATACGTTAAGTAAATAAAATGTATGTATGTACGTGAGCGGATATTTAATTTTAATATCGTATGTGTATTATTAAATTTTATAATTTACTTAAACGTCCCGAATATATTAATGTCTCTCTTCTTTGTACTAAACACAGAAGTTAATATAATGAACGTGGCTGCATTTAAATTGCAAGACGTGTAGGTTTATTATGACTTCATATAATGAACGGCTTGACGTTTTGATTTAAATAATTACTGTATATCGAATTAATATTACGATCCTGAAATAAGAACAGGTTACTCCATGAATGCTAGAACGAGCACACCAGATATCCAATATTAATACCAATATCGCTTAATACTACGCTACAACTAACTCAATACTTGATACTCTAATCTGCGTAAACTTCAAAAACGAAGAAAAAAAAGAAATTCGAAGGGAATGTGAAAAAAAGCTGCACAATTTCGTCGTCTCCCGTTAAAAGGGGGGCAACATAACCGACTTAAAAGGTGTGCGACGTTTCGTTTGGACGGCGCGGGGGGTCACCGGTTCACGATCAAAGGCCTTAATAAAAAAAAAAGGGTTGAGGAAATCAAAAACGTTCTCTCCTCTCCTCGCTGCAGCTCGGATCGATGCATAAATTTGTTTTTTATCCCCCAAATAAATACAGCCGCCACTTATTTACGATCTTTGCCATTTCCTTCTGACTCTGTTGCCCTCTTTAAACCAGGCCGTCCACTCCTTTCCATTTCGCCTCCTCCTCCTCTCTGTTCCGCGCGTCGAATTGGGAGAGAAACGTTTGTCGCTACGCTAACATATTCGCCCGGATAAATAAATATTGACCGGCGTGGTAGGCACCGCAAACAAATCCATTAATAACAGGAATTTAACCCCGTTGCGGAGGTGCATACGCGAACAGGCGTATTTAGCCCGGCGTGGCGCGCCAATTGTATCCTCTCGCCGCTCGAAATCGGCGTTGTCGGTATCAATTTATATCTGCGGGTAGATATCCGCCGGTAGATTCACCGGGTTACGCTAGAATAATTTAATAACACGCATGGTACGCGGGGGTGGATTCTCTGCTGCAGCCCTGATGCATCATTTCTACACACACACGCGCGCGCGCGCGTAGATTCTTCGCGTGATCCCTGATCGAGGTTTGTCTAGCGTCGTTCAACAGTAGACTCAACAGTGATAGTCGATTGATCGGCGGGTTTGTGAGAGGGGGTGAGAAAGAGAACGGTGAATGGGAGGAGAACGGTGACGCGCAATTAGCTGAGACTGTAATCAAATATAGCCGGATGGTTAATATCGACGGACACGATTTCGAGCTCGCTTGCTGTCTCGTTAGCAGCGTGGCAAACACACGATGTAACCTTTTCTTCCCTTCGATGAACGATGAGGGGATTGGTGGAGGGGGTTTGATTGATTGGGCGATTGGGACGCCGTTCTTTAATCTTTTTCTAGCGTAATGTACATTTTTGTCTTAATGTCTTGTCCAGCACATCTATTGCGTATATATAAATCTATTAGATTTAATAAACGACAATAAAATTAAACAATATTGTTCCTAATATACAGATTTTTCGTTTCAGAAAATATTCTCGAACGATTGGTCCATTTGAGGAAAAGTATTAATCTCGAAATAGTGACTTGTTATGATAAAAAGGAACACGTTAATTATTAAATTTTAAACAATTATCAATTATGTTATGCGAGTATAACACGTTTTTAGATCCACTTTTGTCAAATTGTATGTGTACCTTCCTCGATGTATATTGTCAAACAGACTAAGAGAAGGACAATTTCCAGGAAAAGTGACATCATCCAATGAACTCTTCGATACACGCGATGTAAATACAAATGCGTCACTCATCACCACGTATCTATTAACCGCGTACTGGTTCACGAGGCGTAGACGGAGCTCGACGAAAATTCCTTCCACCCTTCCTGCTTCAAGGCCTCGCCCATCCCACTCGGATAGAAACTCGGCCCAGTGGAAGATGATCGTCTCGTAATCCTATATAAACACGGTTATTTTTATCCCATTACAGGGCGGTTCCGTAACGGCCTGTGGAACACGGGGCCTGCATAATGCCACGCTGTGCGCGTACACGACCGCTTCTAAGGGCCGCCGACGGGTAGGGATGACCGCAGGATCCCGAGGGGTGCCACACCCCCTCTTTTGCCGTGGTACAGAAGCACCCAGCGGGGGTCACCCGGTGCATGATACAGCCCTTCCAGGCCCCTGCCCTGGGCCCGTACCGGTCACATTCCCCGCGGGACCGAGTTCTCCTCCCTGGAGGTGAAAGGAGACGGTGAGCAGGTTCGAATTTTAACCAAGTTTATTCGTATTATTTATTTTATATTACGTATTTCATAAGAAAAAAGGGGAAGGAGATTTTCTGGAAGTTTTGGAAATAAGTTCTTATCTGTGGGGGAAATGTAGTGTAAGGGAAATATGGTACATTATCGTTCAGGAATATTTATCGGTTAGGGGTTGCTTCCGCTTGAACGAGAATTTGGTTTATTTCGGTGATATTTTGGGTGGGAAGGAATCGTTTGAAATTTAACAAAGATATTAGCTAATGAAAGAAGAATTCCTAAATTAAAGGAAGGTTCGTTGTATATATATAAAATTGAAGATGATTCGTAAAAATATAATTTCAACATAATTCAAATACATTATATTTCGTATCCGTAACAATTTAATACAACGAAAATGCATCAACACAATTAAAAATGAACATGATAAAATACGAATAGCACTTTTAATTTAATAACCATTACATCTTCATTCTTGTTTCGAATTAGGGACTCCATAAACAACCAACCATTGTATTTTTGTTTACCCATGTACTGTGATTCCTTTCGGTTTATTTTCTTGTCTTCCGCTAAATTTCCTCGTTGTTTCCCCTGTGCCATCAATGAGGGCTTCTTTGATGTTCTCGAAACCGTTCCTCAAGTGTCCGTGGATCTCGAAACGATGCGGGTCCAGCAGCGGCGAACACGTGTCGTGCACTCTCGTCGTGCACGAAATTCCACGGAGCACGTGACGCGATCGGAACAGAAACTCGAATCTCAATGGCGCTAACGACTTGCCTCCTCACGTATTCTTGCGAACGAACAAAGATTCCTGGTCTGAAGTTTCGTGAAAAGGGAAGAAGAAATCTGCTCGCCAAGGATCCGTCGTCGAGGAATTGCATGAAAAGGAGGGAAACGTTCCACGTTTTTCAACGAGCACACCTTTCCAGAATCAGTTCAGCCCGCGATTTTTCCACGAGAGGCTTCCAGAGTGCTCGTTTTTGTAGGTTGCTTCCCTTAAGAGGGAAATCTTGTAAGGGAAATCTTGTTCCGTTTCGCCAGGATACCGCCAGGAACTCGAGAACGCGACCCCTCCTGGTCGCTCCATCGTTTCTTCTTCATCGAAGCAGCGAACTTCTTCTACGATTGGATCGTTACTGGATAATGATTTTTCATCAGAATTGAAACTGAGAAATTATTGAGTTGAATTAAAGTCGAGAGATTGAAAGAAAAAAATTTAAATTAAAATGAAGATACGTTGGATATTTTTCAGAAAAATCAAAGAATCAATATGGTGAATTTTTATTTAGAAATGAAAGATCTAAAAATTATTAATTTCGAGGATAAAATTTGATTTTGATTTGATCTTTAAGATTTGTCAAAATGAATTTCTAATAATTGTTTATTAGAAAAGAGAGATTAAATTGAATTAAAATTTAAAAAAGAAAAGAATTCTGGGAACGAAAGATGTTTTAAAATTTGGGAAAATAAATGTTTGATGAACAGGTAGATGTTCTCAGACCTTCGAGAAATAAAAGACAAACAGGTAGATTTATATATATTTTCTTAAGGCGACCACAAATTATTTCAGACCCGTTTCGATTACTCTTTCGACAATATCTCAGAGTAAAGATTTTTTTTACCCCGAAATATTTCCCATCAACCATTTCTGTGCCCTTCCTCTCCCCGGATATCTCGTTCCACTCGAAAGGAAAGCAAATCACTTCGCCTGGAGATCAAAGTGACCGATTTTCTGCGGAGAGATAGCCCTAATTGACAGACCGCGTAAGCGATAACCTCGCCTGCCTTGCCCCAAAGGATCGAAATTCCTAAAATTCTAAAATTCGAGAATTCGAAATGCATTGCGATTCACGCATTGCCTGCCCAGTCCAAACCAAAACCGGTCGACGAAGAGTTTGATTTCGCAGAGAGACAAACGATCGATCAAGCTGGGACGAGAAACGAAGCTTGAAGCTCGAGACGAAAAAAAGACTCCTCGACGCGAGACGAAATTGCGATTCCTCGCATCGAGGAAATCGATGTATATACGAGGGAGTGTATTTTTTTTCTTCTTTTTCTTTTTTTTTACGCGAGTTGTCAGCGGGTCCATTAATTTTCCTGGGGAAAAATCGACGCTGCCTGTCTAGAGTTACGACGCGAGCCTTCCTCGAGAGGAGTCCACCGGTGAAATCCGAGCCTGTCCCATTTCTTGTAAGGAAGGGGAGGAGGGGCACGCGAGGGCGGATTAAAAAGGAAAAAGGAGAGAATGGAAGATGGAAGAAAAGAATAGGAAAAAAAAAAGAAAAAATGAAAAAAGAGAAAAAGGAACTGGACGTGGAGGAGCTCGGCTGTCTCGAGGGCTTCCTCGAGATATCAAAAGAGGGAAAGAAGACGAATATTTCTCGTTGGAAATTGTGGAAAAGGGGGGGAAAATGGAACGTGTTATTTCACTCTGTGAGTGAACAAAGAGATGAAATGTGAATTGCATGGCTAATTTAACGAGATATTTGGATCTTGGTATGTTGATTATATATTAACCGAAGTGTGTCACTGTTACGATGCAAAAGAGTCGTGAAACGGGATAAATATATCTCAGACCTCAAATGGAGACAGTGATGGATACGTTGAAACCGGGGGGAATCGAAGAAAGGAACTTTTAAGGATATTATTAATCTTCTTTGCTTTGCTTCCATGCTTTATTTTATTTCATTGCAAATTTTTCAAATATCTTCTATATTTCTTCGTGAAAAATGTTTTTGCATTAATTATTAATTAAAGATATTAATGAGAATTTAATAACAGAAAGTATTTGACTAATAAAATTATTTATTTTAACTCATTAGTAGCTATTGGAAATTTATTTGAAAAGATGATTTGAAAAGATGATAGATAAATATTGGTAAATTTTTTGTCTCGAGACGAATATTAATTACCCGCCGACAATAAATCGAATGGAATCGATTCTCATACGTAGAAAAGAGCACAGTCATCTTTCACGGCGGAACAAATTCGAAATATTCGAAGATAGATCCTGAAGACCTTAGGGAATCGACTCCTTTATCTCTCGGCCCGAATCTCCATTCGTCCTCCTTGGTCCTAAAACAAATGAATCCACTCGAAGACGGGACTGGACGAACAGGTAAGCAAAGTCGAGAGCCCATTGACCGTTCGAGAGAACCTGTCTCTCTTTCTCGAGGCAACTTTGGTTTCAGCTTGCTAATAGTTCTTAATGGAATCGATAAGTCGTAGGAAAAATCTGAGGAAAAAATAAAAGTCGGTATAAAAGTCATAAATTCGAGATACGAGTTCGTTCTTCGTTTATCGTCCCTTCGACCCTTCTTCATATTCCATACAATGTGCAAAGGCTGAAAGAGATATCGATTTCGATCTAAACTTCTTGTTTTCTCTTCATCCTCGTTTTCTTCGATCTCTTTTCCATCTTCTTTTCTTTTTTTCATTTCTTTTATTTTCGTTCCTTCTTTTTTTACGGCTACAGTAGAGATCTTTACGATCGCTTCAAACGTTGCTTTTATGGGTAATAAGATTATTTTCGTTCGAATGAAACCGTCTTTCGACACTAAAAACACGAAAACGCGTTACAACATTGCCTCGTTTTCGATTCGCCGTCGTTAAACGATGCCGTGATTCCTACTTATCCTGCGAGATTAGTTCGGATAATATATTAATATGTTTAATTCTATTTTGGTAGAGTGGCTTCGGCAACCAATTTATATAGCTGTATTTTATGAATATTACGTACCAGTCTGTAAACTTCGGGAATCTTCTTTACTACTTCAAAGATTAAGGATTTCTTCAAAACGTTTTTAAAATCTAAGAAAAATATGATAAGCAACTAATTTGTATAATCATCTTTAATAGACGGTATCTTCAGTATTTGAAACTTGGAAGTGATCTTTTTCTCTTCGAAGTTTACTTTACGAAAAAAAAAATTTCTAAAAGAATTTTAGAATGACTATTTTGTTATAGAAAGAGCTATCTTTTGTTGAAAATATCTTCCAATATTTCGAAACCTTACAACTTTTCTTCTTCTTTCAACACAAACTTCGTTTAGAAAGGAAGAATTTTTTTAAAATCGTTTAAAACCAATATATTCAAATTTATTTTATCTGTCTATACATATGTATATTTAACTCCATCTTCAAAGAATCGGATGACTAACTGAATCAGAATTATTTTCCAATATTTTTGAAAACTCTGTCAAAATAATTCAAAACGATCTATTCATAAGATCAAAATTCCTTCTAAACATTTCAACAATCACTAACTAAGCAAAATTATTTCCAATTATTTCCACCGATATTCGAAATCTTATTAATTTAATCAAATTAATTATTCGTTTATAAGACGAATTCTAAATTTCCTTCATTCTTATTATATTTCTCTTCATCGATGATTAATTAATCAAAATTTCTCAAATTGAAATCCTAACACCTTTCTTTCTCAAATTTTATATACAAAAAAAAATAATGAAGTTATAGAAAAACTATAACTCTTTTCGAATATTGATTTTTAAATATCTTATACAGGTTAGGATTCTAAATAATTTTTTATACATAATCGACGATTGGTCTTAATTTTTGAAGTATTTGCAAAAAAAGAATTACAATTATTTACATGGATAATTAAGTTATTCATGAAAAAAAATAGTTATTAGTTAATTTATATTAACAAAAGATAAATAGTAATAACACACATATAAGCGAAACTTTCTATAGTAACAATCATTTTCAATAAATATCATAGAAAGTAAAGCCCATCATCGTCTACGTTTCATCAAAAAAAAAAAAATAAATAAATAAATAAATAAAATAAAAAAAAAGAGAACTGCTTGAAAACAATTCGAAACCAGATCAATCGCAAAACTCGCCCATTCAACCCTACACCGTCCCTTCACCGTCCATTATTATACACATAGTCGATAAAGACAAACGCATCGGCGAGTCAGCAGGAAGGACTCGTTATTCCCGTTCGGTGGAATCGCGTTGAATAGCCG